TACATCCACAGTGTTACAGAGCCCATCAAGAGTCTTCTGAATAGTTACAACGTTTTTTGCCAAACCTACAGATCCTGTTACAAAAGAACAACAAACTGATGCTATTTATTCTACTCCATGCAATATGACTGCAATCACAAGTATACTGGACAGACAAAATGTCAGTTTGGTACTCGTTTGAAAGAGCATCAAAAGGCAGTCTTCTTTTGCAGAAAAGAAAATTCAGCTTTGAGGGAGAACACATGCCTAACTAACTATACAATTGGGTGGGATAACTCTAAAAATTATCACCACTAGTTGATGCTACTACCAGCGCCTTTGTTTGGAAGCTTGGCATATCAACTTTGCCCACAGTCCTTTAAATCATTACGATGGCAGCTTACTACAGGATACCTATTTACACTTCGTCAGAAAAAAATGGCAGCTAATTAGTGAGCATATCAAAGGACCTCGTGTTGCAAAATCGCCCTTTATGAAGGCACTAGACAGGAGTGTCAAAACGTTGGGTCAGTGAATTGTAATTTCCCTGGTTACAATCATCAAATCCTTAAACCAGAGTTGCATAAAACCACGTCTGATTGTCCACCTGGTTACTTTGTGAACTTTAACATTTCAAATGTACATTATACTGTAAGAGTACTATCTGTACCATAATGTAAGTGTAATGCAATGTACATACTTTTTTAGTGAATTCTGTGTGAGTATCCTTAAGGTAGTTAATGTAGACTTTGTTAGTAGTGTTCTTCGTGTGGTTATAATTAAACAAAAATATAATTATATAGAAAATAAAAAATTAGTTTAAATGTATTTTAATTTATAATTATCACCGACAGTTACCTTGCATTCACAGGATTTGTACGACTTGTTACAGTCACTGCATTTCCTTGAACCAGGATCCTTACCTGATACATAAAACAACAAATTAAGTGTTGATATTAATAAGCAAAAGAATTTGGCAAAGTCTAATACTTAGTCTCTTCATGGCAGCTGTTGTTCATCACATGCAACCATCCACTAGAAACAGCATCTAACTTACAAATCATTTTTTTTCTCTGAAATGATTGCTACTGTTAGCCACCAGAGCTGTCAGAGTTGCCTTTAATAACCCCCTATGTGGCTTCTTAGTAGAGTTTTTATCTTGTCCATAAAAACCTTTTGCTACATGTGTTGCACGTTCACATGTAACTCACAACAAATTAGCATACATAGCTTAGTGCACATGCATTTGCAATGTCCAGTAAATTAGCATATCTAGCTTGTTACTTGACTTTGACATTTTGCAATTAAAGGAATACATTATTGAGAGCACCACCCTATCAACATATGTACATGAATATTTCAACTACCATGTAGTTTCTGTCCTGATTATAAAATTGCTGGTATTCTAACCATAGAAATATACACTGTATACAGACTGCATAAAAACTAGAAACACTGCTGGAAAAAAACCTGCCAATCGCCTAATAGTATTCCCATAATTATTTAGAAAAAATCCGAGCCCCAGATGGGACTTGAACCCACGACCCTCCGTGATCTAGTCGGATGCTCGAACCACTGAGCTACTGGAGACTCTATGGTGAGCAAGGGTCAATTTGTGGGCCTCGACTGGAACCGCATCGCGCGGCTACACAGCCAAGTATTGGTAAGCACCTGCGAAAACTCACTAACAGCATCACGCTGTCACATTAAGGCATATCAAGATGCAGCCAACCAACCTCCAAAGTGAGCATGTAAAGGGTCGTGGGTTCAAGTCCCATCTGGGGCTCGGATTTTTTCTATTACACTAAAAATTGTTTCATCTTTACATGCATAATTATTTATTTAAGGAATTTAGGGAATTTAATTTGTTCGCTACAGGAATAGCAGGAGAAAGGAACAGAACTTTCGTCCCAATTGAGTACCCCCCTTAAACCCACCTATCCCACCCCAGGGGAGGACATCCATCGCACAGTAATCTCGTGTGTGGGTAATTAACGTCTCCTACCCCTAACCCTGCAGGAGACGGGACCTCCATTTATTCATCCCTATCCAAGAAGACTAGAATATCTAGCCATTTCTTGATGTTATAGAAAGGTAGCAAATTCTTCTCGATCATTTTAAGACCCTGAGTGTTGGTCCGGCCGGGGCTCAAACCCTCAACCTCCCGCACAACAGTCCAGCGCACTATCCATTGGGCTAACTGGGCTAACTTATGAGCCCCCACACCTCCCCCCCTCACTTACAGTCTGGAGCGTTTGAAAGGTTTATGACTTGAATCACAAGTCCGTTAGTAATTTTTTTTTTTTTCCAGCCACCTTATCCTTCTGTACTCTGACGTTAAAAGCTGACAGAGAGATGTTTTCAAAACAGGAGGTCGAGACGATTCACGGATACAAAAGATTAGCGTAACAAACATGGAAACCGCGAAAGAGAGAACAATTTCCGGATGTAAACGAGCTCGGCTCCACTGAAAATATTGATGCTGTCTATGCACCGAGCACTTCTAAATTTTTTTGTTTCCGAAAAATTGCCTATCAAGCATTAGAACTGGAAACGATGAATTTTTTGAGTCGTTAGCTGATATTGTAACATTGGAATGGCAAGCTAAGATCGTACCCTAAATAAACACATTTTTGTTTCGTAAGTGAGCTAAATTTAACTTTTAATGATGTGAAATATGGCATTGCTAATTGTAAACACACGTGCACAAAGAAGAAAAGTCAGGAGACCTGCTATGTATAGCTGCATAACCTTTACAGCAGTCCATAAATTCGCTTTACCCAGGGAATCATCACCCAGAGAACGGCAAATTACAAAACTTGGGAAGATATTGATCTTACATGTACATGTACAAGTACATGCAGTCATATGACTTTTTCCCAAAAATTTAACTGAGCCCCACTACAAAATAAAACGACATAATTTCCTTGCTTTATAATTTCCTTTTTTCTTTTTATTTCGTGGCGTACCTGTAAACTAGCTTTTAGCTAAGCGTTCTGACCACGTTAAATAAATTGATTGATTGATTGATTGATTGATTTGTGAAAATGCTGGTAATAAAGACACACCTTCACTTGAAGTCGAGCCACAGGAACTTTCCATTTATCTCCTCAGCTATTAAGTTTCTCTAGTGTGTCAGAATTGAAGTTCAGAGCAGATACACAGAAACAAATTTCGCAAATCACTGTTAGAGCTTAGCAACCAGGCCTTAGAGTCACGCGAAAAACATACTGAGCCGTTCGTAGATTGCTTTCTGAGAGGGTCCCCTCTTTTTTAGTTTTTTATTATTATTGTTTTTTTCAATATATTTAAGTTCGCTCGAAAGATAAGTTTAAACTGTAACAAGCTTGGTTATGGGCCCAGGATTTTAGCCTGACTGACACTCCGTGCCAAAACTCACGCTCGTTCCCAGGCTATTTCCACCACATTGCTTTACGCCATTATTAAAAAGTGCTACGTAACGCCTATTGTGCATTTTTCTGCACAGGAAAAATGCACAATAAGCGTCACGCAACGTTGGAGAGAGAGAGCGTTGCGTGACGAGTTCAAATTAGGGCTGTGGAGGGGACTGCAGGAAACGTGGTGTCGATGCAGTTTATTATTACCAACAATTATTCAGACACCAGCATCAGTCAGTAAGTGTCCCATTTCAACCCACATATCCCAAAAAAGTAACACCTGCCTGCGTAACAAGCCTATGTTTTTTTTAAGTGAAAAGGTGTCGATCGACGCTATTTGTCTTTCTTGTGAAAAAAGGACCAAACTTTTCGCGAACGCAAATCTTGAGGTCGCCTATTCTAAAAAGATCACCAGGCAGTGTGGGTAGTCCCTCAAAAACGTGAGTATTTTGAAGGCATAATTGGGAAAAATGTTGAGCAATGTTAGAAGCATTATGTGCCACTTCAACCAGCTTAGTCTACGAGGCCGCTTAGACAACACCCACTGCTCCCCTTCCTGGATAAATTTTCTAGGCCTTTCCTGTGAGGCGTTACATAAGGTGCATAAGCGTGAAAATATGAACTGTTAAAGTTCAAGTACACTATTTTTATTTCCACCAAGCTGCAAATTCTTCACATCTACACTTTAATCACAGCCATTTGCAGTTTGGTTCATGAAGCTAGTTTACATGTAAATACTTTTTTTTCAATACGCCCCCAGGCGTCACTTATTGAAAAACACTTTCTCTCGCCAACTACTTTGTTAATGCAAGTTAGGTGGTCATCCTCATGTTCCATTATCTTTAAGTGAAGCATTTTTATTTTTTACTAATCATTAAAACATAACTAAAAACGTCGGGTCGTTAGAAAGCGGTCAGCCAGAGAGAATTGTTATTACTTCCCACACACGGTTTTCATAACTGACCTACCTTTAAGTTTTCATAGCTTTTTTGCGAAACAAAATCTTTTTGAAAGGCTCCTATCGGTGTGTAACCGGGGTATCTGAGGAGGCCACCTGGTTATTTCTCGAGGTGGAGTATTCAGAGTTCACCGCCTGTTGTCTCCTGACAAGGGTATGGACACAGCATGAAGTAGCCAACCCTGGCGAAACTCAGGAAGTTTCAATGTATATATACAACTGTATTAATAAACGAGTTACAATAATTGAGAAAGACCGAATATACATGATATCTCCAAGACACTAACATTAAGGATAGGTAAGTCGCTTACGACAATCAAAGGGATCCAACAGAATAATGTGGTGATAGAAACAAGCAGCAAAGTCTTTGTCAAACGCACACTTTTTGCGTCTCTGTTTCGATGTTGTGTAACGACGCTTCCCTGTTGAAACTTAAACAAAATAGCGACGTAACAAGCTACTGTGATGAAAGCTATGACCACTCCCGAAATTAGATAAATGTATCTATAGCGATATCCCAAATATTTATAAAAGAAAGACAGCCCAGTGTGAAGAAGTGCTAATGCCCAAGAGAAGGTACGTTTTTTATTGGGGGGGGTATTTTAGAAATTTTTTGCCAAAAAAGTCGTGGCCCTCCCACTTTCCAGATTGGATTAATGCATGACCCTTCATAAATGCCTAAACAAAATGGATCTGACCCTCCCCCCGCCTCCTCCAGGACAAAAACAACCGGAAGTGAAAATAACTGACCGGAAGTGTTGCTCACATAACCGTGTCTGCGCACAAAGCAGTTAATTGCGTAGCGTTGCACGGTGAAAACTTGAAAATGGGCAAGGATGCGCGAGGAATAGAAAGAAGGAAATGCGCTTGTGGAGAATGCCAGGATTTCATGAGGTCAGATGGAGCAACTTGTGGCTATTGTGGCTGTTTGCCGACTCGCCATTCTAAAATGGACGCCCGCTACTCCTCTGACTTGGTAGCACATCGGGTGCGGGAACAAGTGAAAGTACAAGTCCAGAGAAGTGGAAAGATGAAGATCTGGGGTGGTTCGCGAACCCAAAGGGCGAATATATTGAGTTCTCAAATAGCATTTTGTAAGAAAGGTGAGCTTTATATTGAGTATAGGCGAATGTCGTGTAAAGAGATAAGTGGCAAACTGTGTAAATTTTGCGAGAAGGATGAAACTACCAGCGCTCCACTTACAACTCGACGACCATATCCCGACTATGGCAAGCTACCAAACTTCCATTATCTCTCTTGGAGTGCAACTCCCACCGATGGCCGTGAGTCGGATGACTTCCAGCCTCGAGCTCAGATTAAGCGATCGTTTGAGGAAAGTGAACTAGTCAGTGGGGAAAGTGAGGCTATTAGAAGGTTTTCAGATAATTACATTGTCCCCGAAAAGCTTGTAGCGGAGTATGTTGAGCATCTTTCCCAGATAAAAATGCGCAAGGAGAAGAAGAAAGAGGAGACTGAAACTGGAGCCAATGGAACGGCTGAACCGGGAGTACAATGACATTGACTGGGTTGGACTGTACAACTCCGATAAGCTGTCGTCGTTGAGGGTGGACGAACTATCCTTGTACTTTTCTCATCACAAGATCACCTTCAACGGGAAGAAAGTTGAAAAAGTCGCAATGATAAAAGCGCACATTGGTAGCTTGCTGTACAATTGAATGGGGCGTCAACAACCTCGGAAGCCCCCACTCAGAAATGTACAGCAACAAGTGACCTTGTCACTTTCCGAGGTGGAAACTGACTCGCAAAGTGATGTGGTAGATCGAGTTGTCGGTTCAAGCCCGAGTAGCTCAAGCAACGAATCGTCACCGGACACTAATTTTATACCAGAGCCCCGCTCGGAAACATTACCGACGTCAAAATATGGACGAAAGCGGGCACGGGTCGAGAGAGACAATTAAGTTAGTTGGGACAAAATAGTTTTTTGACATAATATTTCGACATCTGCTTAAACTTATGTAGATTGACTTAGACTGGTAGCTCTGCTTGCATATATAAGTTTTAGGTTTCTGTACACTTCGCGTGTTTGGTAACAAATAATTAAAAGTCAACGAACTGACATGGAGTAGGCTTTTACTTGCCAAAAAAAAACCTATGACCCTCCCCCGGCTGCGCATCAAACAGATTTGACCCTCCACAATTTGTAAAATATTTACTAATGACCCTCCCCCCTGAAACCCCGGCTCACCCCCCCCAATAAAAAACGTACCTTCCCTTACAATGCCTTCCATCATAGAGGGTGAAGTGCCATTTGCTGAACCCGATCTATTAACGTTGCTGGCGTTTGCCATAGTTGTGTTCTCCGTCGCGTTTTCCGCTTGGTTGGTTTTCACTCTTCTCGCTAAAGAAAAAAGCAGCAAGAGTCAAGAAGGCAGTAATTATTACATTTTTTTTTTCTTTCGGGACAGCCAATCGTATATTGAGTTACAACCCGGCTCTCAGCCATAAAATGGATTTCCAATTGCAATTTTTTTTAATCGCATTAGCTAATGCATGCCATCTGGATGAAAACTGCCGTCAATTTCGACCCTAGTTTGCGTTTAAATTTAGTACAATTAAACTATGCCAAATTAAGATAAAAGTTTTCTCTGATAATTTTGCTCAATAAAGTCTTTTTCATTTCTGATTAATTTTTGACAGAATGGTGACGGAGTCATTAGAACACAAAAGGGGATTTTTAGCTCTTCAGATAAAGAAATGAAAACGTCATATATCATTTATTAGCATGAAAAGAGTGTTTTGGGCTCATTGAAGTTTGCCCTCTGCTTTGCTCAGCAACAGACAACTCATCACATCTCATGCAAAAACCGAACGTTAGATAAATACCGCCTCCACGATCTGCTTTTTATGAAATAATTTGACAAGTCATTGGACCTGCCTCCGCTCCACGTAAAATGACGGCTGACCACTGGCTCTTTAAGTAGTAAGACACACTTGGGCGGTAGAAGCTCACTTTAACTTAGACAAATATGTTGCAGCTATACTTCAAAGAAGTACATTACAGACCCTCCTTCGATCTATTACGCCAACCTAATAACATATTTTGTTTCCCATTGCCCGACCAACCATTATTCTGTGGAAAATTAAAAAAAAAAACCTAAACACACCGTTTGACCAGTAAAGTGTCGGTAATCAACCAAAATCACTTTTTGGCAAATTATCACGATTTATTTGAAAAAATCCGGGTTGGGAAAACAGTCAGAGAGCAAACGTGTGCGACCAGACTTTTTCTAACAGTCAAGCTCCTTTCGAGAATCGTGTCTTTTTTCTTACCTGACCGACCAAGTTCAGGATAGGAAGGCGATTGCGTTAAGAAAAATAGTTTAAGGATATGATATAACAACTCTATTTTAAGAAGGTAACACACAACAATAATTCAACTGATGAACAAGTGGCCCTCGATCCTAAAATTACCACAATTAAAATTAAAAATATATTCGAACGTTATTAAAACGGTTGACAGGTCTATAACTTGATATAGGCTAAAAACTTGATAAAATAAAATATGCCGCTTGGATCACATTAAATCGCATTCGGAATGAAATGCTCTATTTCATCACGACTCGTTAAAAAAATGTCTGTGAAAGGCGTCTCTGAAAGAAGTTGTTTCCTCTTTCTAAAAGTTAATGGGTAATTGGTTCCTCAATCTGGTCGCAGATACGCTCCCTCCCTCGGTTTCGCGATTGAAACGAGATTTAATTTACTAAAACGACCCTAAACCCTGGCACTGATAAAAACGACTCTGCTCGCAGGATACAGAAGTAAAATTGGTTCACTGAAGTACTAATTATTCACATTACTTATTCAGCTAACTAACCAGGTGAATGGTAAGGTGAACGTTACCAAACTCTTTTAAACATTAGTTCGTCCTAACGAGGATTATTTCTGCTCCAAAATCAGGGAGTACCCCAATATGGTTCTTCTCGTCCCCAGCTGTGTTTTCATAAGTTAAGCGCTTATTATTATTTTTTTTTTGGTGCATCTCAAATAGCGAAGCAAAGTTTGTAAACGGCGACAAAACCTCATTTATTATTCACAAATAACTTGCAACGAAATTAAGATGGCTGAATACAGTTTTCCTATGCTTTGACCGCCATGTTCATGTACCAGCTGTGTTTTCGTGAGTTAAGCACTTTTCTTGGTGCATCTAAAAAAGAAAGGCACATTTGGAAACAGCGATAAAAGCTCATTTATTATTCACAAATAACTTTCCGCGAAATCAAAGTGGCTGGATACAGCTTTTCTAGGCTTTGACCGGCTATGTTTATGTAGAAAGGCCGAGAAGTATTACCCCTCTATTTCTGTTAGTTTTCTGTTACGAGCGGGGTAGGAAGCTGTCTTTTCCTTTTGTTCAACTAACAATATTGTTTAAGTTGATTTCAACTCCACGTTCAGCATCATTACTATTAGTTCAATTGCACGCGCGTTATAACCCTTCGATTTTCTTAAAATTAAAATCTGCCCGCAGGGTTATGAGATCCAAATAAAAACCTAAAGTAAAACCTAATTCTTCTGATCGGCTATTTACCATGAGAATAGATCTGAACGTCGCAAACATTTAGTACTCCTAACCCCTCGTACGCTGATCACGCACCGACCCATCTTGTGTGTCCTAGGGGGATTGTTTTCTCTTCTTAGCTATGTTTCTATGATAGAAACTATCTTTTACATAAACAATCCTCCGACTTTCGCAGGCTTTTTAATTAAATGACACAATTTAAAGAAAGTATTATTGTAATCCGCTAATATAAATTCTAGCGCCACTTTCAGTAAGAATGTTTAATGTTTGTAAAATGTCCTGCCGTAAGCAACGAGTAAAAGATTTGGGAACGAACTTAGCGATAAAAGTGTGGACGAACTTATTCTATTGCAGGGGGGCGAACTCGCGATGGTGTTGGTGGTGGAGGGAGGGGGGTCAGGGGAACTTGCAATGGGGTGAAACCTCCAGATACACTGAAGTGCCCATGAGATGAAAAACGAAACTATTATTTGCGAGTGAATTTTTTTTGCAATTTCATTCTTAGCTAACAAAATGGGACCAAGCAATTGATTTCCCTCCAGTTTGAAGTAGGACTTTTTTTATGACAACGCCCTTTTTTTCAAATATTCTGCCATCACCAGCTTATGTTCCCGTCGACTTAACAAGTAAAACTGGATCAAAAGTTGACGGTGAATTTAAAGACTTTAGCGTGAAAAATTTCAATTTGCGAACCATAACGGATCTTTTATGCAGAGCGATAACCTGCCACCTATAAATTCATTTCATTATCTCAGTTAATAAAACCAAGTTATCTGTTATCCATGAGGATGAATAAATTTGTGGTGCATATGAAGTTTGATTTGTTCTACGACTGAAAGTTTAAAATCATGATAACGTCTTTGACTTCACTTTTTCTCTAAATTCAGTCCCCTCAATGGGGTTCGACTGATACATAATTCAATATTAGGGCGGACAGCCTGCAACAAAATTGTTGCCGAAAAAAAATCGTGCATCATTGAATCGAGACGCGATGGTTTGTATAATACATTTTCAACAAAATTAAAATCTATACTAATCGGCTGTTCCCTTAAATTTCCATGTTATTTTGATATAAATCCTTTCGTGTCCAATTTAAATCCCAAATAAGCCCCTTCTGCAGAAGTTGTGGAAGTGAATAAGCCTTCCGAAGATTTCTAGCGCTTTCGATTGAGTATCGTAAAACCAAAACCAAAGCAATCACACTGGACAATCAGAAGAAAGCAAAATGCCTTAAAAAAGCCAATGAGACTCAAAGTAAAAAAAAAATCAAACCGCCTAAAGCGCGGGAAAATGCGATCGACCAGCTTGCGATTTTTTCCTTGTTTTGCATCTGATTAGTTTGGAAAGTGGCGCGAGTTTTTTTTGAATAAATCACACGGCGAAGAATTTCTTTCGACAGTCGAATGAAAATTGCGATACAAGATTTAACTTCGCTTCACTCGTAGAGTTATAATCAAAGCAAAAATTTTTTTGTCCAACACTTTTTATGACTGACGGTTAAACTTCACCAATTTTCGCCATTTTAGAGCTGACAGTTAACCCTATTGTCTCTTTGAGTATTTAACTATTGATCGTATGAGTAACGAAAGGCAGGCTTAAAACCAAAAGCATCGATTTTCAAACATTTCATTTAAATCATTTATTTGAACCTTTACCATAAAATTAAAATCTATACTAATCGGCCATCGCCTCGAGCGACTCTTACCTTTCTTTCGTGCTTAGCAACCTCCCGCGTGCATCCATAACTCAATAGTGTACGCTGTGGTGTTTACCATTTGTTAACTAGTTAGGAAACAGACACTCGTTTTATCGATCCACCCGGTTTCAAGAGCGCGTAGTTGATAATCGTGTTCTATTTACTTACTGGTAGTATTGCAGATGAAAATGTTCTTTTACTCATGCTGTCGTTAAAACTAAAATACAATTTACTCATTTCAAATATGTTTTTTGTTTTTTCCGGTTTTCCCTTTCCGTCTTCAGAACACTTGAAAGCCATCCAAAGACGATTTCTTCCCTTTACACGCCAAACCATTTTATACAAGATATGTGCTGGTCTCGTTGTAGATGTGGCACTTCCGACTTTTTACTGGTTGACAAAATATACGACGCATCTAGCGGTGAATTACCTCGGGAAAAAATGGTGAGTTACGGAGTAAACTCGAATTATCGTACTTTGCTGTTACCAATGGCGTCTTGCAAAAATCGAAACTCTTGAGCCCTAATTCAGACCACTGAGTTAGGTTCCGTAGGTTGAAAGTTGAGTTTTCGGCTTTACTTTTAATCCGGTACTCCTAATTGTTTTGCCACCTTCCTTTTACCTGTATGCAGGCAGAAGTTTCAGGACGAGAGGGCTGCCGCTAATTTGCCCGCCAAACCCCAGAAACCGATATGGCGGCCAAAACAGAGGAAGAAAAAGAAAAATAACATGACTTGATAGATTTCATGATTCATTGTTCAAAATGTTTTTTGTCATCTGCATCTAAAACTTTTAACTGTTTTACAGAAAACTTTTGTAACTGATTTCAGTATATAACAAGCCTCACGGCTAGCTATTAAAGAGTCAACATACTTCTTGACTGTTGGTTTTATTTGTCCCTTACAAAGCAAAAAAAATTCCTCTTTTACATCTTTTGGGGCTTTCGCAACAAATATTTGCCAGGATACACTCCGTTGTCGCCCCTATCAACGATGCTGACGGATACAAAACATACTGGAAGCTTAACCGAAATAGTTCACAGCAGGTAGGAACGACAAGAAGTTTAATTTTTTGGCTCTCGATCGGTGGAAAATTGTGGTTAAGCTGAATACTTTCCTTTAATTTCTCGTGTCTCGGTAGTTTTACAAAAAGTTGTGCTTTCGTTTCTGCTATGGTTCTTAAGGGAATGAGGAGTTGTTGATAGTTCACTGCACTAAAATGCGTGTACTTTAATTCCAAGAAACAGGTGTTTAAAGGAAAGATCCTGCTTCGGTACTTGAGAAATGAAAAATGAACCAACATGGAATATGTTAACCCATTGTTTAGAAGTACTCATAAATTCTTCTTTAAATTTCCTTTGCAATAGATTCGGAATCGGTTGGGGTAGGTAGTCGCCCAAATTTTGATGAGCGTTTTTATAACATGCTATGAAGGTTTAGGAGCATCTAAGAAACGACGATTTCGGGTCAATTTGTGAAAATTCCAGAAAAATTAAAATAAATAAAGAACTGTTTACCTAATGACAGAACGGGAAGTCTTGAGAGCTAAAATTAGCACAGAGTCACGGAACAGTAATATTTAATGGGATCCCAAATTGTGGGTTCTAGAAAGACTCTTTTGTAGTAAAAGAAAGTGAGCAAAAATAAAGGTTAGACTGGATGAAAATGAAAGAAAACTCTAACGAAGCCTATGGCGATATGGGTATTCTTCACTGTAATTATGTTTTTGTGCGACCGCCCATCGTCTATTGTCCTAAATTCGGCGATGTCGGCTTTGGAATGGAAAGCTTCTGTAAACGTAGCATTTTTTTCAAGAGCTCACATATATCTAGCGCTGTAGATGATACAATTTTGCAGTTCAATATCGTTTGTTTGTTTTGTAAGAATGCAGTTTTAAAGATGCTGTCAACAAAATCATTTGTTCTTCAGCCAAATATAATTTTGTCAATAAAGTTGACATGACAACAAGACTGTTGTATGAAACAAAATCGAGCTGAAAATTCGAAAAAGTCAGCATTTGGTATATTTACCGCGTTATTTCTGAAAATCGCCTGAGACTGATTTAAGCACGTAACATATTTATCCTCATTCAGTTTATGTCTGCTGGCACATAATGAAAATCTGAAATAAACTTGACCGCCCATCTTAGAGACATTTTAAACTTTTGCAAGAATAGTGGCAAAATTTCTTAGAGTCAGAGCCATTTAACTGATACAACAGAATGGCTCCTGAGCATTAATCAGTGTAACAAAATGCTGTGTAAGACTTATTTCAAAGAAATGAAGGTCCATAAACTGCGCTCCTGCCGCGAACATGAACGATTAGTTAGTGTCGTTGAATTAAACTTAGCTCAGAACAACTTTGTGAAACAAGATTGAAAGAAAAAGCAACAATCTGCTTCATTATCTTACAAATGTTTTCTTCGCGAGGGAAAATGTATTTAAAGTGAACTTTGTTTAATTTTATCCTTTTTCACGCAGATCTTGCTACAACAGGATAAACAATGAAATCTCCGGAAATACAGATGTCTCCCCAAGAAAGTTAAAAAACCAATTTCCTTCACAATTTTCAAAGCGAAAAAGCACTTCGTCTTAGTTTAAATCAGTGGGTGGGAACATGGGAATTTCTGCATCGCACGAAAACGTGTTTTTCTTGGAAATTTCGGGTGTCTCCAAATGTTAAATACTGGTTTAAAATTCACTTTGTCAATTCAGAATTACACGTGTCTTGCAAATTGGCTGAGCTGATGACTTTTTCAATTCTTTTTTCAGTAAACTCCTTTGTCAGGGATTATATGAATTAATAAGAATTGCAGATGGAAAAAAAACTAGTTATTTAACGGAACATTTAACTCTAGACGTTTCCGTTACAAATCGTTTCACAACTGATCATTATTCCTCAGTACATCATCAACACTCTTTAAAATATGAACGTTTTGAGACAAGCTGGCTGTTTGCCACCATTCATCGGATGATTTTTCAGTTGACCACGTTATGCAGCTTTTCTCTGTTACTATTGCATATTATCTCAAAGACAGGTATCTCAGAAGGAAACGAAGTCACAGCATTAACAAAAGTCGAGGAGAAAATTAGGGAAGTTAAAATTTGAACCCTGAATAGCAATTAAGCAAATAAAAAGCTGTCATATCCAAAGCTGCATAATTCGTAACTTCCTCTACGTGTAAACATGATCTTTTATCCAGCCTCCCTTAGAGTTGTTATTAACCAATGGGAAATGCTTAGTACTAATAAGCAATGACTGCTTTGTCATCGTCGAATAAATATGTTGCAAAACAAGGAAAATTTATTTGATTATCTATCGACGTGAGTTTCCGTATGCTTGCCAATATAACTCGACTTATTGGACGCATGAAAACAGTTTCTCTTCGCGCATTCTTAGAGCAAGAAAGAATCCAGAATGATTCCCACATCGACAACCATCTTCACCGAAGCGGAAGAACTTGCTATTTCGCAAATCTCCTCTCATTCCAAGGCTGAGGAGATTGCGTGGGCCAGCATTTTTGGAGTGCTGTCAATCTTCATCGTGGTGGAGAACCTACTTACCATCGTTCTCTTTGCTGTCAACAAGAAGATTCGCAAGAAGAAGAGCCTTTTCCTTGTCATCAACATGGCGACTGCTGATCTGATATTTGGAGCTTTAGCCCTGCCCCTGTATATTTATCTCGGCTTTGGTATGCCGGACTATAAGGAACTTGCGATCCAAAACGGTGACTCGATTCTGATATTGTCTTTGGACATTACCTCGAAAGTCTCGCTGGTAGCCTCGTTACTATCTGCGGCCCTCATTGCCTGTGAAAGATTTTACGCCATATATCAGCCTTTAAATCATCGAACTCTGACTGCGCGAAAATACCGCATTGTTATTTTTGCAATATGGATAATGGCCCTGCCGTTCTCCAGCTTGGTGTTCTTGATCCCAGGGCAAGAATGCACATACGTGGGGATGCCATTCGCCTCGATTCTGCTCACCATCATCTGTGGTTGTAACATTGCAATTTGGAGAAAGTTTCAACGTGGGAATGTCGCCTCACAACAGAAAAACAAAGCCTGCCGAAAGGATCGCTTGACGAAGACTTTGATACTTGTCTCCCTCCTTGCATTGATCTGCTGGCTTCCCTTTGTCTTTTCAAATGCTTTAATGGGGCTTGGCATTACCGTACCGTGGAGACATGTTATGATTGTCAACCTGCTTAATTTTTCCAACTCATGCGTAAATCCTGTGGTGTATGCCTCAAGAGTTCCGGAGTTTCAACAAGCGCTGGCTTTTTGTTGTGGCGAACGTCAGAAATTGTTGAAGAAGGAAAGCACTGAAACGTCAAGTAGCAAGAATACTGCCTTTACCTCAACGACACAGATAAAAAAATTGGAAGCCGATTCCTCACACCCACACGTCGAGGAAGCTATGGATGTCAAACTGTACTCAACCGAAAAACAAGAGCTAGTTACGTTTATTAAGTAGAACGTAGCTCGAAACTCAGTGCAATAAGTTGTTAACGTTAGATTCGTATCTTAAACTCACTCGACGGAAAAACGTCGTAAATTATTGTCAAAGTTTTCTGTAGTAGCAGTAATATGTATAGTCATTACGGTGACGCCATCTCTTAACCGTTTATCCAGAACAGTAAACAAAGATGTATGACTCAACCAGAGGGGTAAATTAATAGTGAAACATCGTCTATTGCGTAACGCCATGTAATGGGAGAAAGGTAGACTCTAATGCTCGGAAGACGGCTTCGGTATTGTCTTGTATTTTAATGAAGAAACATCGATTAGCAAGTACTTAGAGTTCTCGGTCATTTTTCCTCTGTCCTCCCACGTTCAAATTTTAATTCTCTTTATTTAAATTGTATTTTCAATTTATACCTCGACATGGAGTAAAGATCTTTGAAGTTTATAAATTATGTCGGCATGTTGAAAGGTCCTGGAAAGAATATAATGTCCGATTACATCTCGTGTACAGACTGTTAGATATCAATGTACAGACAAAATGAGTCAATACTGACAGAGATAGTTTAAGTTCCAATCTCAATTTCCTTAACGAGAGAACGGAAAATTGATCACAGCAAAGATAACTTGCCAACCTCCTAGAGCAAACATTTGTTTGTTGAAAGATCCAGAAAAAAACATCGTCTATTGCGTAACGCCATGTAATGGGAGAAAGGTAGACTCTAATGCTCGGAAGACGGCTTCGGTATTGTCTTGTATTTTAATGAAGAAACATCGATTAGCAAGTACTTAGAGTTCTCGGTCATTTTTCCTCTGTCCTCCCACGTTCAAATTTTAATTCTCTTTATTTAAATTGTATTTTCAATTTATACCTCGACATGGAGTAAAGATCTTTGAAGTTTATAAATTATGTCGGCATGTTGAAAGGTCCTGGAAAGAATATAATGTCCGATTACATCTCGTGTACAGACTGTTAGATATCAATGTACAGACAAAATGAGTCAATACTGACAGAGATAGTTTAAGTTCCAATCTCAATTTCCTTAACGAGAGAACGGAAAATTGATCACAGCAAAGATAACTTGCCAACCTCCTAGAGCAAACATTTGTTTGTTGAAAGATCCAGAAAAAAATATGCAAAGATGCTTATCATTATTCATTCACATCTTCATTTTTCTTCTAATTTTATTAATGAATCGCGTTGGTGTTTCTAAAACGTCGATAGAGAAAACTGATGTACATCAGAGGAACCTTTTTAATTATTATGTGAAAAGGTGAAAACTTTTGAATGAAAAATAGAAAGTTAGCTCTTCGATTGTTCCTAGCGTATGTCTATTTTCATTTGCACAGCCGGTTGTGTTTGGATGTAACTAGCTGAAATTGCCCCGTGATTGCGACAAGTTTTAGAGTTGGCCTAAATTGTAGCTAATGTCGATTCAAATTGCTATGCAACTAACCGCACCACAGCATAAAGATAGACATCAACCGTTACGAGGCGACATCAAATAAAGGATTCAAATGAAGGTAATTATCGTAAAAGATAATTGCTCATCGTGGTGGCAAGTCATGATAAATTATTTAATCGTTTATCTCACGCTGAAGTTATTTGAGATGTAGATTGCAACAGTTGTACTGCTTACTGCTAGTCTACATCACGTGATGGCGTCGACTGCTCACGTGTTACCATTTGTGTTACGGCAATCTATGTAATTGGCGGATTTTGATCCCCATCGCACCGGTGAGTTCCGGTCTCCTGAAAGGTCTGACCCCAAGTTGTTCCCACGGCGGTTTGCTGTCCTACCGGTCTCTCGTTGTGTTTCTAGATCGTTGGTATCCATGCTTCAGCAATTTCGATTCCGTTATCCCCGTTGATCAGGGTGAAGTCTCATGTGGAAACCCCTCATGACTCTTCTGGTTTACCAGTGTGGGACTCCATCAATAAACTTTATTTCGTTCCAAAGCGGGTGGTGGCCAATCTTGCTGGTGTGCTCAGAAACAGCTGAAGTCTGGGTAGGAGCTAAACGTAAATCAGGGGCGGATCCAGGATTTCAAAAGGGGGGGTGGATGGCAGATGGCGGGTACACCCGCCATCTTGGAAATTACCCACAAGACCCTGGGAACGAAGTTGCCATCAAACCTGAGCCTCGACTGAGCACATGGGTTGGTAAGCGCGAACGTTTCCCTACAAATTTCGCAATAATGAGCTAATCAGAATCTTACTTCGCCTCACTAGGCGTTGTCAAATGGCTTCCTTGCGAACTTTTGCGCGAAAAGTGGCGGCAGACGACGAAACGTGGCGTAACAACAACCAGACATGAGCGAGAGCTAATTTTTCTTTCTTTCTTTATTTTCTATTTCAAATAAAGTGACATTTCGAATTTTTTTTTAACTGAAAAATGGGGGGGTGGATATCCACCCTATCCACCCCCCCTGTATCCGCCCCTGTAAATCCCTCTCGTGTTCTTCCGTCCTCTCTTGCATAGGTCTTCCAGTTTCGCCGATGTAGATTTTCCCGCACTCACAGGAAATCCTGTAAACCACGCTGTCCTACCTAGCTGGATTGAAAGTGTCTTTTGGTCATACTAAATGCGATTTAAATGTCGTGTCGGACTTGAATGCTCCGCGGATGCCTTGCTGTTGTGGGCTATGGCGAATAGCCTCTGATACACGTTTTAAATAGGGCAAAACAGTTGTGGACTTAAACTGCGTCACAGGCTCTCTGTTCGAGCAGGAGTTTTTTCTTTTCGTGACTTTCTAACTACAACTTGGTATCTATAGCAATCGCATCAAATTTTACTTGAAGGTGATGAGAACCAGTGTAAAATTTTCTTAACTGTGTCGCCTTCCCCGATAAAGTGATTGCCTCCTTACTTTCAATTTCGATATTTACCGCAGTCATTCTAGCTCGCTTTTTGACACAGCATTGAACAAACGCTTTCCGTAACTCTGGAATTCTCAGTGCATACATAACTGGGTTTATAATTGCGTTAGAGCAGTTGAGAAAGCGGGCAATGAAGGAATATCTGATCGACACTGTGATCCCTATATACCTTAACCCGGACACAACAAGTAAAGGAAGCCAGCAAAGCAAAGCAAGAATGGAAGCAAACATTAATGTCTTAGTCAAACGCACATTTTGTGCGTCTCTGTTTTGCTGCTGTGAGGCGAAACGTCCGTGCTTGAGCTTTCTCCAAATTGCGATATTGAAAGCACAAGTCATCATTATTACAACAATAGCGTAAGATGACCGAATATATCTGATAAAATTCCTGTACAATTGCAAATAAATGGAGCTCGTGTCAAATAGCAGACTAAGTGACCACACCATAAAAATAAAAATGTGATAGGTTCGCACTGTTACTGTTCGGTGTTTGAATGGCCAATTTACGACGTAAAATCTTTCACAGGATATTAATACTGCAAAGTTCAAAGACACCATTAAAGAAAACGTGTATGTGGTTGTGGAGAAATGTGGCAAAGTCCACAATGAATCCATGTTTCCCATCCAATGCTGATAGTGCTTCATACTGATGGTGGTGTAAACAGTCAAAGGAAGAGCGAAGGCTCCTAATATCAGATCAGCAAAAGCCATATTGATGACAAACAACCAACTTCTTTTACAAAGTCTCTTGTTACTGTTGAAGAGAATTATGGTGAATACGTTTCCAACGACGATTAAGACGGATGCCAAGGAAAAAACACTGCACAAAATTGTGCTTTCTGTTTTAGAAAGAGGAATGGCTGGCAAATTAATTTCAGTTTCTCTGCTAATATTTGCCGCAGAAGTGTTTTTCATCGCCGCGACTTTTCAACCGTAAGGTTTGAGATCTCAGACGCCCTAGTAAGTCTTGGTGGAGATAAAAGTGTGAGAAGTTCTAAACTGGGACGACAAATCGGAGTAAACGCACTCTAAATGAAATCTTTTTTACTTTCCTCTCCCTACTGACACACTCATTCAACAGCATCTGTTCCAAATATGGGCAGGAGACAGTTCTCATTTTATTCAATGTTTAAATTGCCTTAGAGTTGCTCTCGATATGAGAAATCTAATGTTCTTCTAAATTGCTTCACAGTTTATCCTGTGTGAAAAAAAAAAAAAGAAGTAAAACGGTAGGGTTCACCGAATGTGTTATTTTTCCTTTGTTAAAAAGCAAATCGAAAATACTGAAGTACAAAGAAAAGTGAGCTCTGTATCTTGATAATTCCATAATCTGTGTTTGTAATCCATGAGTAACAGAAACAGGTTAAACTTTCCAATGAAAAAGAGCTCAGCCGGCAGATGTTATGGGTTAATAATAGCACCTTTTGTTCTGAAAAGATAATTCGTGAAATGATTGGTTCGCATTCGGAAATTACTTCTTTGAAGTTGCCGTCACTTCTCACTTAATGAGACCGATTTCAGCGAAAGATAGACCAATCTTTCCATTTTAAACTGAGCTGGGTTTGGTAAATGAGTTTTAAGATTTAATTTGGTATTCTTTAACGGCGGATCCGTGAACAGCTGTGAAGTGATTAATATTGAGTTAGTAACAAATCTCACAGATGAGTCAACATCTCAAAGTTCGAAATACTTCTTCAAAAGTGTCTTCCACTCAGTCCTCGCCGAACAGAGCTTCTACCACAAGGTCAAAACTATGGAAAACACTTCTAAGGAAAATATTGGCACAGTGAATTTTCTTGACTTGGAAACAAATCCTATTTCAAGACCAGAAGGCGTAGCATGGTGCATTGTATTTTCCTTGCTCTCTGTTTTCATTGTCGTTGGAAACCTTTTTACAGTAACTCTCTTTGCAGTGAACAAAAGAGTTCGGAAAAAAAGTTTGTTTTTTGTGATCAATATGGCTTCCGCTGACCTGATGTTGGGAACTTTGGGTCTTCCGACCTATGCTATGCGGTTACTTCTTACCAGCACTGAGTACTATCTGCTTTCCACACGAAAGATGAATTGGACTTTAATTTATGTGTGTAATAGCTCTATCACCCTTTCATGTTTCGTGTCACATATTTCTGCGT